GATCTGAAGCCGGACAACGTCCTCCTCACCGAGCAGTACCGCATCAAGATTGCCGACTTTGGCCTCTCCGTGGCGCTCAAGTGTCCCACTGAAATGCTGCGCCGTTTCTGCGGCACGCTCAAGTACCAGGCGCCGGAGATGGTGCAGCGAAAGGAGCACTCCTTTCCAATTGACGTCTGGGCACTCGGCTGCATCCTCTACCGCCTCTACTACGTCAGTGCGCCCTTTGACGGGCCCACAAAGGAGGACATCTTCATGGCCATTCTGGGGAAGTCGCCCAAGTACGCGCCAGAAAACAGCAAAAGCGGCGAGCCACTTCGCCAGGTGGAGATTGCCCTCATGAAGAAGATGCTGGTGAAGGACCCTGCCCAGCGGATCAAGGTTGCCGAGCTTCTGCTCTACAACAGGAAGTACTTTGAGGGCAATGCAGGTGATGAAGAGGAGGTGGAGCGAAATCCTCTGACGGGAGTCGGCAAGATTATCGCCAGTCTGGAAGCGATTTCAACGTTTGACGCCAGAAAGCGCATTCGTTTACTAGTGCCGTACACTGAGCTGCACAGCGCCGAGCAGATGCCAAAGTACTGGGTCACTGAGTTTATCGATTCACCGACAGAGGGCTTTGGATATCTCTGCAACAAGAACATCTTTGGTTTTAACTTTTACTTTGACCAGCGGAAGTTGATGCTTGTCAATGACCAGGTGGTGCTTATGCACGACGGACAAAAGGCGAGTCCGCTGCGTCGTTTTTCGGTGAAATCTCCGCCGGCAGAACTGACCAAACCCGTCAAAATGCTAAAACAGTACCACAACATGCTGAAAGAACAGATAGAGAAGGAGCAAATGGCCTACCCGAAAACGGAGATGATTGACTCTTTGGCGGAGGATCTGCCCTGGCTGGATAAGATGATCACCATCAAAGGCGATGTTTCCAAATGCCCCGTGGCCATTGCCTTTCTTTTCACCAACGAGCTCATTCAGCTGACCTTTCTCAGCAATGGAAACATCTTTCTTTTTGACGGTCATCAGAACGCCTTTAGCATTATCAACGAGAAAGACCGCCTGCTCACTCTTGATCTGCAGTTCCTCCTCGAAGGACACATTACTGATGAAATGCAGTGCTACGCTACGGAGTCGCTCAAGTACATTCGCTTTTTTCTTGACTCTTTTGAATAGGTTTCTTTTTCACCAGTAGTACTACTCACTGCTTTTTCAGACATTTAGAACTTGATTAAACAAATGATGTTACTAAATGTAGAACAAACAATCAGTGTACTGCTGCCTTGTATAAAACCAAACTTTATTTTACTTTGCTTGTGTTTTCTTTTCTTTTTAACTTTCAGTTGTACAATCACTTTATCAAAATGGGTTTAGAAGGCTCAAAAGCTCGCCCCAAAAATGATGACGACCAATCTAAAGCGGGAAGCAAAGTGGACTCAAAGGCAAACTCTTCGGCAGTGTCCGANTACTCACTGCTTTTTCAGACATTTAGAACTTGATTAAACAAATGATGTTACTAAATGTAGAACAAACAATCAGTGTACTGCTGCCTTGTATAAAACCAAACTTTATTTTGCTTTGCTTGTGTTTTCTTTTCCTTTCAACTTTAAGTTGTACAATCACTTTATCAAAATGGGTTTAGAAGGCTCAAAAGCTCGCCCCAAAAATGATGACGACCAATCTAAAGCGGGAAGCAAAGTGGACTCAAAGGCAAACTCTTCGGCAGTGTCCGAGGCCTCTGACTCCTGTGCCTCCGGCTCTCCGGTGACCGCCGTAGCAACGGGGGCAGTCTCAAAGTCAGGCGCACCTTCAACGAAGGAGGCATCGGCGACCAGCGGCTCGGCGGTGGCCTCGTCTGTGGTTTCTCAATCAGGCGCTGGTGCTGCCTCGCCAAGCAAAGCGGAAACCAAGGTGTCGAGGGAAGATGACAACGCAGACACGGCGCTGGGCGGCAGTACACTGGGCAGCCTGCTTGGCTCTAAGTTCTTCGGCGTTCCCGAGAACCCTGATCGCATTATAAGTGAAGAGCCAAAGTCTATCGCCAAGTCATCAGTGGCCAAGTCATCGAGCATCGAACCGAGTGCCGTGTCCGGGCACAGTTCAGTGGTAGAGAAGTCGTCGGTGATGCCGAGCACCACTGGTGCAGGCAAAGGCGCTCCCAGTGGCGTCTCCGAGGTGGACGGAGCAAGGCGGTCGACCTCTTCTGCGGCCACCTCAGAAAATGTGTCCTCTGCCTTCACTACCGCCACTACGGGCACATCTGCAGCTTCTAAAACTGGCGGCTCAAGTAGCGCTGGTAAGTCAAGTGCCGGTAGCTCCAGTGCTGGTGGCTCTAGTGTGGGCGCTTCCAGTGCTGGCGGCTCCAGCGTTGATGGCTCTAGCAATGATGGCTCAAGCGCAAGTGGCTCGAGCAATGCCGGCTCCAGTGCCAGCGTTGCAAGTAGTGCCGGTAGCTCAAGTGCTGGTGGTTCGAGCGCTGGCAGCTCAAACGATAGTGATTCGAGCGTTGATGACTCAAGCAATGACAGCTCAAGTGTCGGTGGCTCAAGCGCTGGTGGCAGTCAACGCGGCAGCAAGAGTAAAAGCAAGTCAAAGCAGTCAAAAGCCAGCAAAGGAAAGACTGCTAGTAAAAAGGCCTCTTCGGTGCAATCCAAACTAGCAAAGGAGAAAGGCTCAAAACTGAAGGAAAAGTCGACTGCAAAATCTACCGCAAAATC